AAACATCAAAACAAAGTCTCTGTCTTCAATCAGTTGCTGATTATGGCTGATGTTACGGTGTTACCTCATTATCATGGCAGCCATAATTGGATTTTCTGACAGTCGAAGGAATGGTAAGGGGGGTTTCGAATCCATGTCAGGATTCATTGCTTAGTGTCGAAAACATGGGTCTAGACACACGAATGAAGTCTCTATGTGCATTACAAGGAAGATATTCTTGATTTAGTGATTTTGACCTAAATTAATATGCTAATTAGGCCGATTATGCAAAATGCTTACACATGTGGCAAATTAGCACCGAGTTTCTGATTTTTCCTTATGACCTGTATATTGCCATTTCCACAATAAAACCTTATAGTACTCGACATTTCTAGTCAACTAGGGCTGGCTAGTAGACTACTGACTAAGTTCGCAACGTAGCACTCTCGACGCAGACGCGCTATTTTATGATAATGCAATGCGCGTGATCTATATATATATACCCATATCAGTGATGCTAACGCTACGAGATTTCCAACTTCGGCTGTAGGCAGTGGGAGTAGACTGGCATCATTTCTTTTGCATATTCCATAAATTCCATTAACAAGCGCTGGTTGCCACACTATCTCGCTCGCTATTGCAAATGGCCGCTCGGATGTATGTTTAATTTTTACTTGGCTTCACCGATGTTTATCGGGATTTTTGTTATTTCAACAGCAACAAAGAAAAGTTTCGAACGCTTTGATAAAAAATCTTATGAGTACCCGGTGCGATACTCAGTGCTTTGGTTATGGTAACGCAATAAATGAAATTCAGGTATCGCGGCGGTACCAGCGACTACGCGCCATTTCGGTAGCCCTGATTTGTGATACAAAAAAACGTGTACGTTTTATATCTGTCTACTCATTTTTATTGGTATGATTATATATATATTATTATTTTTCACGATCCCCCCCCCGACGTCCCGAATATCGTGACCGTACGTCGAGCGGTTAAGATTTGTACCCAACTGTTGACGGACGGACGGACGGACGCACGGACGGACGCACAGACGGCCGGACGCACGGACGGCCGGACGGACGATCATGCGATTCTACAAGCTGCATCTGACTTCGTCAGATGAGCTAAAAACACTACAGATGCTCAACGATAAACTCGCTTTCAGACATTTAAATTACTATATGGGGGTGTCATGGTGCACTTGCTATAATATTGATGGTAATACAAACTGTATAAGTAATTATATCATATTGTTATTACTTGTAAACAATAATTCTTCTTAGTATCAGGAATGGCAATGAAGATGCATAAATGCATAAATGCAATGATCTGGGGCCCCTTGTCAGAAACAAAATTAGTCTTAACATGAACTTTTCTGGTAGACTGCTGACAGAAACATCGTTGAGTTAGGGGTTACTCATATGCATTGTATCAGGAGTTAATAAAGACAAATTTGTCTTTATTAACTCCTGATTGTATAGAGGTCTGGTCTAAAAAAAGTTATTGGTAAGACTAATGTCAATACTACTTTTGTTTCTGACAATGGGCCCCTGTTCTTTGCAGCTTGCACGATGACACCAAGTTTACTGATTAAGGTGTACCCTTGTTTGTAGTGAAAACAGTGCGCTGAGCGCCCTTTTCGATACGTACACTTCGTCTAGTTGACTGCTGGAGAACAGTTCTAATCGCCATGCAACAGGTGTTGAAGTTTGTCACCACCTGTTTCTGAAGAGGACACGAGGGGGAGCCACTTGTCACTGGGCAGACGAAAACGCCCTCGGCAACGTCTGTGCTCAAATAATGAAAGAGTGTGTTCTCACAGCCTCTCGTCAGCCTGCAGATAAAGTTTTCCAACTATAAGAACAAAAAACTGCTGCAGATAATTTGTTGGCTTCGAATGATGCCCTAGGGGATGGCAAATCAATGAAGAAGTTACGATACTTCGCACAGAGATAACAGTGCATAAAAATATAGGACAGACTGAATGTATTCGTGAAAGAATTGTATACGAAGCAATGCTAGTTCAGAGAGGAAGCACCCATAGGCATTTGGGTTGCTTGAATTTATCCTTTTTACACATGAGTCGACATCTTTGGCTAATGGAACCCAACTGTAATGTACGTGTGGCGAATGTAGTAACACCTCTATGAATAATATAGTATCATTTGCGAGTCGAGAATGGTTGGAAAACGTTGGAAAATTCCAGACCGTAATTTGTACGCGAGACGAGAATATATCTAGTAAATATGTATAGCATACAGCAACATTTTCAAGCAAAACGTCTGGCAAACTACGTATAGCACCAACTGAATGCGCCCACGAAAATATACGATTACTAGCCTGTTTGCGACAGGTATCTAAAACACAGACGCCAGCAGACGGGAGAAGAAGAAGGGGAAGACCAAATGAGACCTGGAGAAAGACCACCGAGAAGGAGAGGCAGATGTGTGACCTGTCATGGGACACGCTGTGGACCGACGACGTTGGAGATATCTTGTCACTGCCTTATGTGCCATCTAGGCACCTACGAGGGATAACTAACTATCTAAAACACACACAAAATCGATGTGATACTGAGGGAACTCGTTTGACGATCTGCCCAAAGAGACAAATATAGCTCTACAGCTGATTCAGCAGCTGCCCATGACATACGGTGAGATAGCATCACCTCGTCAGCCCATCACATGCATGGAAACGCAAAGCACTGTTAACACGGGCAGATATTTTTACACCTGTCACATAAGGCTTTAGAAAGCATGGAGCATGGATAGCTACCAACATCAAGAAAATTTTCAAGCACTAAAAGTCTAGAAAATAATTTAACGATTAAATTAACTAATAATAAGACTTTATATTTACTTCTAATAATTACTTACATGCCTAACATTATTGATAATCTACCCCAATACTATGAAGGACAATCAACCTTTTATATTTTTACACACATGCACGCATGCACGCATGCACGCACGCGCACGCACAGGCATAACGACCTGTAATATATATCTGATATATTTGCTTCATTCAATTACAACTCGAAATAAGATTTAAATGCCAGTTAAAACTAGCCACACACTTAAATATTACATAACTCGACGATCTCTCATGAGGCATGATATATATTCTATGTGTACAATAAGAAACCCATCGTTAGGAGGAGAAACCTACTTGGGAAATGTGTCATCTTCACTGACAGTAAGGTCGACCATGCTCTTCTTCAACGAGGTAAGGCTGGTTGCACTAATCATGGTTCGCTTCTTCTTGTTTGCCTGAATGCATACATACACGACTTAACAACGCCCAGCAAAAAGTGGCAGTAAAAAAGGTCCAATACAATAGCTAGCACGTGAAACAGACATATAATTACTGGGAACAAATTGCAAAAGAGCAACAAAGCTGTATTCGTACATTGTCTGATGTAAGCCACAGCCATTTTCAATCGGCGCCAAGTTAAAATACATTAAATTAATTCATGTTCTCACGTACAGATAAAAAAAGAGGAATAAATACCGCCAGATAGATAGATAACCAGACGGATGGACGGACAGACAGATGGACGGACGGACAGATGGACGGATGGACGGACAGACAGATGGACGTACGGACAGATAGACGTACGGACAGATGGCCGTACGGACAGATTGACGGACTGACAGATGGACGTACGAACAGACAGACGAGACATCGAGACAGAGGTAGATTGACATTAACAGAGCTCGACGTATAATACGTGGGATGCTTTGACAGACGAAGACGCTCACTTTGAATATGCTGCTGCCTGACTCGTCAGATGGCGTAGAAGTCAGTTTGCGAGGATGAGGCGGCGTCTCCGCCTCCCTGAGCGAGTGCGAGTTATCACTTGCTGCTCCAGACTGCATGCTCGCCTCAGATTCTTCATCGGAATCTCGGTCGTGCGCCTGTGCCAAACTCCCTGAAAGATCGCAAAACACATTATCAAAGATCAAGCCTGCATCACAGGCACTTGGACCGTTTCAATAATAAAATGATGGTTAATAAACACAACTTGTCAGTACTACTACTAGACGCACTGCAGCCCGGTATACGCGCGAAGCGCGAACAGCACCACCTGGTGGTGCCATTAGAGTCAATTCG